GTTGCAGGCTTGATCGCTTCTCGCACTGTGCCTCGTGCCTGGGCACTCTGTCTCCGTGTCTTTCCTAACTCTGACCTTGACACCTGGCCTCTGCTGGCCACCTCTGCCTCCTGTCATTTATAAAGCTTTCATTTCACACTTGCACGCTCACATGTCCCTTAAGCACTGCCAAAGTCATATAGCTACAACAGGAAAGGGAGTCCCTGTCTTCCAGATGAAGCTCTGAGTGTGACTATGGCCCTGCTTGGGAAGTTGCACAAGAGGACTTCAAGAAGTCCACCGAGATATGGAATGACATATTTACTTTGGTGCAAAAACACCAAAACCCATGTATCTTTTATTTATAATATCTATTTTCCATAAGCTTTTTTGAAGACCCCTGTACCTCAGGGTAGCTAAGAGCTTGCGGATCTTAGTCTATCTTATGTGGTCCAAGTCCTGGCTGTGTAGGGCAACTGCAAGGAAGTCATGACTTCTATGAACTTCTGCATATTCATCTGTAAAGTGGGACAGTTTCCAAAGAGATGTTACATGGGAAGTCACAAGTATGTCAGGTAGTCCAGGGTCTATTGTGATCATATTAAGAACAGTATCAGTATCAGCAGCACACATGTCATCACCATCATTTCCACTTACATTCACCACAGTCTATGAGTGAAGGGCTCAGAGCTACAATGCACCAATCTGAACTCTGCTCCTCTACTCCCAGTTGATGTAGCCTGAAGCTACCTACCCGGCTTCTCTGTGTCTCACTTGCATGTGTGTAAAATGGAAACAGTACCTGTATCCACTTCTAGGACTGTGGTGTGCATTAAGTGGTCTGCTTTCCAGACCAAATGTTTAGGAACCCATCTAGGACTCGGTATACACAGGAGCTTAGCTCTTGGTGTTGTGATCTCTGCTGCGCTGCTATGCCTATGGTCTTGGCCTGTGATCAGGCAGGCTGCAAACTGCTTTGGATGCACATTTAGGGAAGAGCAGGGTTAAAAAGCTCCCACAAGGCTCCCACACTGTGGTGGTGTCGGTGATGACTGTGCCTGTCTGACTCACTTGGGGTGAGCATAAGGGGCGGATTGTGTTTCCCGTGAAGGGTCTGGCCACTCCCCGTTCTAAACAAATCAGGAGGTGCCGCAGCCCAGAACTGAGGCTGGCAAACCACCAGAGCTATCTGTTTTTCCCAATCTGTTCTAAGGAAAATTGCTGCCCACGACAAGATGGTGCTCTGTGCCAGATTAAACACTGCAGATTTATTTGACATCCTAAGTTAACTGACCAGGGAAGAAAATCAAACGCATTATCCTGCAATCTAGCTTCAGCAGAAGGATCAAGGTAGTCTGACTAAGCCTTTGGTGACACATCCCTCTTACTCACTGTCTGCGATTCCAGGATTTAAAGACATACAGCGACTTCAGAACCTGATTCTCAAAAAGGTGACAGAATGTTCCAGTAAAAAGTGCAAATGCAACAGTGAGAGTAGCAAAAGACTGGCTACCCAAGTTTACTGAATACTGTGTCCTTGTATCTTTAGGAGCAATAAGAGGCGATGAGGAATGGTGGTGGAGCTGTCCTTAGGATGTTAGCCACAAGCTTTTGTCCATATAGTCATTAAGGAGCCGTCCAGGAAAACCAAAAGGTGCAAAGCTAATGTCTTTAATTCCCTTTTTCTCATGCTAGTCTCATGCCGGGAAAGGCAGATAAGCATGCCAGGGTATTTCCAAAATTAAAATGTAAACCTTGGGGGTAAGTATAGTGTGATGCAGTGGGTGGGCACTACTGGGATACCAGCATCCTATTGTTATCCCTGGGATGGAATCTTGTCTCCAGCTCCCTGCTAATGCATCTGGGAGGCAGCAAGCAGGTCATGGCCCAGGTCCTTGGGTTTCTGCCATCCATGTCTAACCTAGCCTTGGTTACTGTGGGCCTTTGTGGAAATGAACCAGTGCACGGAAGATTTCTTTCTCTCTCTTGCTCTACCTTTCAAATGAATGAATGGAGGCAAATCTTATAGATCAAATGAAGATATTGCTTACCTCTCAGTCAAACTCCACCAAGTCACCAAACTCCACAGACATGGATGAAGATAGAGTGTGTGGTTTCAAGGCCACACACCTCCTAAATGGTGGTTGACCTGAGTTCATGGAGGATTTGGCTTTAGAACCACTATATGAGAACCTGGAACAGCAGGGCTTCTGTGCAAACTCTCAAAGAAACAGTGACATCTCTTTGGGACGTGTCCACCCTTCAGCTCGGTGCCACCAACTGCAAAGCTTTCCCTCCCCATGCTGCCACAGGACCTGTGAGGTTACTGGATTCACATTAGTGAAAACCACATAGGGTGGAAGCTTCTACCCAGTGCCACTGCCGGGCAGTTTGACCATGGCCACTACAACTGACAGCCTGAAACATTTGCTCCATCTTTTAATCCATTTCATGTCAGAAGCCACATGTGACCACTGATGATCCTAGCAGACAGTGCAAGTTCGGGATGTATTCCTGCCGGTTCATCAGACAATTATTCAAAGTGGCTTTACAAGTATCTGAGACAGAAGCAATCAACTGCTTTGAGCAAGGGGTCCTAGAATGTCACAGCAAAGGTGCTTCATGGCCTCCTCTTTCGGGGGTTGGGGGAGGCTGGCTACTCTTCCTCACCTGGGCTTTCCTGCAATTCCTAACCATGAGGCACAATATAAGGACAAAATAGAACCAGGAACCCAGCAATGTCAGTCCTTACCAAGGGTACGTGCCAGCAGCAGTAGAGACATGGTTAAAATGCAGATTCCCAGGTCCCACCTCAGTAGAGTTCAGGTTCAGGGAATACAGGACAAGGCCCAGGAGCCACTGTTGGAATTGAGCAGCCCAAGGAGTCTTAGGCAGGTGGTCTAGCTTTGCGGAACTCTGCTTCAGATACCAAAGGACGTATTTATCTGCTGGCCTCTTAAATAATTATAGCACACAAATCTTTGGAGGATAACGCAACCTGGGCAGGTAGCCAGGCAGTCATCACTCTGCACTAATTGCCCACTTCCACGACATTCGGGAAGGCACTTAGTCACCACGGCCTCATTTCTTTCTTGCATCTGAGATGCAGGAGGAAGAATATCTGCTTCTTGTCCTCTGGGACAATGGGAACACAGATGTGCAAGTGTTTGAGGGGAGAAAAGGTAAAATACAAAATATGGATAGCCTACAGTTCAGATGCGTGTTGTATCTGTCTAGCAGAGAGTTTAAATGGATTTTCCATTTAAATAAGAACAAAAAAAAAATCTGCATTTTGAACTCTTCTGGAAGACCTGATCAGATGGAGTTTCTAGTCAGTGGGCAGCGTGGCGTGACTAACAGCATGGCTCTGTGCATCTGTAGTATCACTAACTCACTGAGTGACTCTGGGGGAGTCCCTTAACTTCTCTGTCACTCAGTTTCTCCAACTCTGAAATAAGAAATATTATACAATATCCCCTCTCACAGTGTTAGGATGATTGCACAAAACAGGCTACTGTTTATAAAATGCTGTGATTAATATTTGGTACAAGGCAAGATCTAAGCAGCTGTGAGCAAGATAAACACAGAAATCTCTATACATAGCAGTAGGTAGCTGAAGCTGGACAGTGCCTGTCCATTTCAGATGGTGCAATCTCTATCTTTTGCTTTAAGGAGCAAATGTGTTTCCCTGCATTGGTATCCTACCCTTAAGAGAGCAGATACTTCAAATGCTTCTCGCAGCACCTACTTCCAATGCTTCCATCCCTGCAGGACATTTGTCTCTGCTTTTAATCCACTGTGGCTCATGTGTGGTGCTGCTGACTGGGTAGACACACAATACACGCTGTGGGTGGCTCACCATATCAGTTCTACAATAGGCTGACTGCTCTCCATCTTGATCATCAGGGTGAATCCACTGAATAGGCAAACGGACACTGCAGCTCTGGAGAAACTACTCCAAGGGATTCTAAGCACCCTCCTTCACTGTGGGTAGGAAGCAATTCGCGGTCAACCCCAATGCTTGAATTCCACATCAATGCAAGCTTCACATGCTCACAAATCAGTTGGCCTGACTTCTCCTTGTCTCACCCACACATTCCTTCATAGGTGTGTTTGTGCGTGTGTGTTTACACACGTTTAATTTTTTAAATTTGTCTGAAAGGCAGAAACAGAGGAAGAGAGGAAAATTTTGTCTGCTGGTTCACTCCCCCAGATGTTTTTAGTTGCTGCAGCTGGGTCAGGCCAAAGTCAGGAACAAAATCCAGGTTTCTCACATGGGTGCTAAGGACTCAAGTACTTAAACCATCATCTCCCAGGATGTGCACGAGCGGGTGTGAGAAGTGGAACTGGGACTCCAACCCAGGCAATGCAATTCGGGTTGCAGACATCTCAAGCAGTGGTGTCTTAATGCATCAAATACCTGACCCAAGCCACACATTTTTCACACCATCTATATATTCAAATCAGCTTCCTGTGAGACAGTGGAATCCAGAGCAGTCTTAAAGGCTATCATGCCTACTCTAGACTCCCAGCAGGTCCAACAATTTGTAAGACCCATGTGCTTTCACCTACCTGTACTTCTCCAGAAGCTTGCCCTTGGCCAACAGGAGCTGCCATGGCCCATGTCCAGAGGCCACACACCTTGCTCCCCAGTTACTGCCTGGCTGCGTGAAGCCCATGACTGCCTGCCATGGTGGCAAAAAAACATCAGTGCCTTTGTCCCAAGATGGAACAGACTCTGGTGGAAGGGGCTTCAGGGACCCCAAGGGACCCAGCTGGGGTGACCTCCAAGTAAGACCTCAAGCTCACTAGACTCCCTGCCCCATTCCCTAGTCTCTTTCTCTCCCTGTCTTTCTGCTGGGGGTCCTCCCATAGTACATCACTGCTATCCACAGGCATCAGACATGGAAGCTACGTGACACCTGAATTTGCCTCTGTTGACAGCGCATTGGACACGTGATGATAACATCTTGAGGACTGACATCTGGTTCCCTTTGGTTTCCCAAGTGACCAGAACCTACCTGTTGCGTTAGACAATGCCAATGACTCCATGGAACCACGAGGTGTCTGCTCTGTAGGCGTCATTTCCTCCGTGTATTTCAGGGAACTGATTGGATGGCGGGTCCGACACTGCTGAGCAGACATGCCCCCTTCTTCCTCCTCCTCCTCCTCCTCGTACTTGGGGACTTGGATGCTGCCTCGGGTTTCACTGAAGCTCTGGCTGGACATGTCGCTGTAGCTCTCCTGGGACCTCAGCCTGCCGGGGTAGTAGTCGTCTCTGCACTCCTTGATGAAGCTGCCCCCGTGCCCTTTCATGGCCATTGACGAGCTCCTCTTGGGGTTGCTGAAGTGCTTGGCCCACATGTCGGGCTGGGCCCCTGCCCCTTGCCCTCCTGGACTGTAGGAAGTTCTGATGTTACACTGGCTGAGCAGCTGCAAAGGACTCTGGGACTGGTTCTGTTCCATCTTGGTCCCATAATGGTAGGGCTCGTCACGGCTCCTCCAAATGGGGTCCCTGTTGAGGCTGGGTGTCTGACTGGACAGGCTGAGCAGATCCATCTGCAGGGACAGGGGGTCCACGTCGGCTGACAGACGGTTGGACGTCACCTGCAGCTGGCTGTGCTGGTTCAGCAGGGTCTCCTCTGTCTTGCCCTTGTTTTTGCCGATCTTGGCGCTACGGCGGGACTCCTTGGCCCGGGCATTCTGGAAGGCCGAGTCGGATGAGTCGGAGCCATTGGGATCCTCCCCAGCACTGCAGGCCCGTGAGCAGAATATCTGGCCCTGCTTTGGGAGGAACGGCCGCCCCAGCAGGGACTTCTTGCAGTGAGCACAGCAAAAGCAGGTCTCAGTGGCATGCCAGTGTTGGCCATCATAGGTCATTTGGCCTTGGTCAATGCCTAGGGAAAACAAGATAGGGAAGAGGCTGAGGAATTGCTTAGAATCCCACGACAAAATGTAAAACCCCCAGCACCCAGATCTGGCTCAAGATTCTAGATGCTGCAGAAACAATGGCCAGTAGATGAGTGATCAGGCCCTTGCTATGATCATCCTGTCATCCCGTCAGTCAACTCCTCAACACACCTGCTCCTCTAACAGGTAAGCCTGATCCAAATGGCTGGTACATAAATCCTTTGGTCAGGGACATATTTCTCCAGAAAAGAGTACTAAAAAACAGGATGGTACTGTAAAGAAAAGTTCATGCGGAAAAAAAAAATGGATCAGGAGGTAAATAGATGTTTCTATAAAAAATTTCATAACACATATGTTCTATGAATTTATTGGCTGGTGCTTGTATGCATGAATGGCCAATCCTTTAGCGCCCAAAGAGAACTGATTTTTTAATTTTCTATTCCACGAAGTTTTGAACATGATAAAGCACTGCTATTGAAAATTTAAGTTTTTTTTTAAAAAGATTGATTTTATTTTTATTGAAAAGGCAGATATACAGAGAGGAGAGACAGAAAGAAAGATCTTCCATCCGATGATTCACTCCCCAAGTGAACATAACGGCCGATGCTATGCCATTCCAAAGCCAGGAGCCTCTTCCGGGTCTTCTCATCAGTGCCCTCATCAGAGAGGACCAAAAGCATGTTCAGCCCTTCTATTGCACAAGGACATGAGGACAAGTGCCCACCAGATGCTGAACCTAATGTGCTTTGGTGGTGGACTTCTTAGCCCCCATAACTGTGAAATGTACTTCTATTGCTCATAAACCACCCACTCTGGAGATTCCATTACAGCAGCCCCAGCACACTGTGGCAATGAACAGAAAAATGGGTTCTAATCCTTGGCAGGGAAAATCTTTGCCTTGGTAAGGGAAGACTTGCACATATACTATCAATGACCTTGACACTGTCCCTCCATGACCCGATGCTTCCACCCTTTTCTGGTCACAGAGCTTCTGTTGCCCACGGGATGCCATCTTCTTGCCATTCTAGTGCCAGGAGCATTGGGTAGGGCTAAAACTTCTCCCAGATATAGTACTGGCCTGTAAGAAAGCCCAGAGCCCAAAGGACTGGGTTGGGGTGGACATGTGCTATGCACTGGGACATTGTGAGGTCACCTGAGACTTTTGCTAGTGCAGTGACAGAGCAGGCCCTCTTTCCACAGCCCTTATGATGCTGACAGGGTGGAAGCTGAGAGCTACTGGGACCCCTGTACATGGAGCCCCTGTGGCAACACAGGCTGGAGCTATTCTTATCTCCTCTGCAAGACTCCAAATGTGATAACATGAGGATAAAAAGCTTTCCAGCATGTTGATCCAAAAATGGGCCTCCATCCTTCAAGACTGAGAATTTCTGAGTTGGGCCTTCAAGAAGCAACTTCTAGAACCACAGATACAGTGCAGGGGAGCCAGTGTGCCATCTTCGAACTCTTCTCTGCTGTTCTGTGCCCTTGGAGGCCAGGTTGGATAAGGCACTAAACCCCTCCTTTAAGAGATCTGACCCACACTAACAGGGGAGGGCGGGTCTTCCTTCATTGGGACTCTGGCCTCTGGAGCTAACAGAGGATTTTTGGAGGGACTGGAGTTTCCCCCAGAGCCAGGCCAAGCAAGAGGGACACTGTCCAGCAACTCCAGCCCTTTTAGTACCAGAGCTCTCAGGTGGCGTGAGACAGGAGGGGCTGAGCTAAATAAAGCTGTGATGTCACAGATCCTTCCTCCCTGAGCGCCGGGAAGACAGCAGCAAACGGCCCAGGGACAAACAATTCTGCCCTAGCTAAGGTGACAGGACCGAGATACACACAGGCTCAATAGCCAGCTCCATCCCGTTCCAGCTGGCTGTCAAGATGTCAGAGCTACCTGCTTGGGGCCAGAGGTCACCCCTGTGCTTCCTAGTCATGCAACCATACGTTTCATCCCTGTGTGCCTCAGTCTTCCTTGTAGTACAATGAGGTTAACAACAGCACTCACTTCATGGGTTGCTATAGGGATCTCACAGAATGGGATCACGCTCAGACCTGCTAACTCTTCCCTTTCTCTTTTCCTTTTTACTGGGGCTAGAATCTTTTTTCCTCATTGCTGAGGGCCACAGCCCATAAGCAGTCCAAGAATGAACTCCAAGACTGACTGCTCAGTCTCCCCTCCCCTCAACCCTCTCTCTTTCTTTCTGCTCCCTCTCTCACATGCCAAGAACCCAGATCGCTGTGCCAGTGTCCCTGGCTGCCTTAGGACCTGAACTTGGCACAGCCATGCAGCCAGCTGAATGTGGCTACGGGGCCACAGAAAGTCCAGCTCCTCCAGCCTGCTGCCCCCCAGCTGTTCCTCCGGGCCTCTGCAGGGAAGCACGCCCAGGACCGAGTTCCTTAGGGGAGGGGGAAGGAGGCGCATGGCCTCCCACAAGGATGGTGGGGATGGGGGCAGCAGTGGGGGGAGGCGTGGTAGAAAGCAGCCCAGCAGGCAGTGAGACGGAGTCCTTGATAAACATCAGTGATGTCAGATGGTCCTCTGAACTGCTCCTGAACTCGAAACATCTGGAAAAGGGCTTTGCCGTTCAACATCTAAGCGTTCCCATTTTATTCCCCCCGCTCTAAGCCCTTTAAGCACTTCTCCCAGGCTGGAAGAATCCACGGCCACCATAGTCTGCTCTGTGCATCCCACTGTTTACTCTGCTGCGCTCAGGAAAGGACTGTTGCCCTAGCAACAGCTGCCCGTCGCAGGGGCTGCTCCCAGCGGCTGGATAAATAGGGAATATTGGCACAGGACAATCAGAAGAGAAGGAAGCAACAGAAATGCTGAGGGGAGTGGAACAGTTGCTGTGAATTAGGTTTCTGTACCACCAGCCCTGTTTGTCAAGCCTGGGTCAACCTCCACCTGCACCCTTTTCCCTGACCCACGGCCTCCTGTCTCCCTGGCTTCATGGGTACAGAAATCTGTCTGAGAGGAACCCCCATTTCCTAATCTGAAGTGCAAGGGGCAGTGCATCTGTTTATGTCTTGTGAGAAATGAAAACTCCTTGGTTCTCCCTGGAAGCATCCAGCTGTGAACCGCTGGGATTGTTAGGATCAGGAAAAGAGGATGTATCATCATGCAAGTCCCCCGGAGTGCACACAGCTGTACAAAGGTCTACATAGCAGGGAGGAACCCTGGGCTAGACCAAACCCAGTCCAGCAAGGCCCTCTGGAAGCAGGCCTCAGTCTGCAGGCCAGGCTCACACAACACCAAGATCAGGGCTGGGCAAGTTCCATATCCACAAAGTCGTCAATTCCATTAGTGGCACAAAGCTCTCCTGAAGTTTCCATGTGAATCTATGACTTGCAATGGCAAGGGATACAGACCCATTCTTTTTGGTCTCCAACAAAACATTTCAGGCAGAACAAGCTCCCAAACAAATAATCCCTGTATATCCCTTCACTTATAGGCAAGAAGTCGGGAGCTTTAGGGCAGCCTTCTTGGAACTGTACAAGCTCCAGGCAGATCAGGCTGTGGGCTCACACATTTGGGCCAATTTCCTTGCAAAGGGTGGCTCCTTCCCGAGGTGCCAAGGAAGGCAAGGTGAATGTTATAGCCACAGCACAGTGTGATCTGGGGCAGTGCTGAAGGGCTGAACAAATCGCTGATTTGCAAGGGGAAGATGATTTTCACCACCTTGGAGCTGCTGCATGTGTGCGGAGTTTATAGCTCATGAGCTATATTTGAGGTTCTCTGGCTTTAAACTTGGCTGGGTTCATTTTCACTGATTTTTTTTTTCCCTTCTTCGAAGTCGTGCTTGCCAGAAGCCACTTGGTTTCCTTGACTATCCCTCCCTACCAAGAGGCCTGTTGTGGTCCCTCCTTCTGCAGAGCCCTGAGTTTTTCCAAGAAGGCTGTGGCAGAATCTATTTATATTCCCCTCCAATTTTCCATCCTTCCCTCCCCTTCATATCATACAGTCCTATCTTGGAAGCAGATCATTACCAGGGCAGGGCTGCTGGGAGTCCTATTTGTAGGAACTGACTTGGAAACTGGAAGAGACAGATTTCCCCTCCTTCTTAGAATATATACGTATAATATATAATATTTTATTTATTTAAAAGATAGGTAGGTAGATAGACAGATGACAGAAATCTGTCAGCTGCTGCTTCACTTCTCAAATGCAGAGCTGGGCCAAGGTGAAGTCAGGAACTGAGAACTGCACCTAGGTCTCCCACGTGGTGGCAGGGACCCTGTCACATGAGCCATCACCAGCTCTCCTAGAGTGTGCACTCACAAAAGCTAGAATTATAAGAGGATCTGAGATCTAACTCCCAGGCACATCCTTAGGGGATATGAGCATGCAAGGAGTACGGTAGCCACCGCGCCCAACACCAGCCACGGATGCAATTATTAAGACTGTATAAAGGGCTGGCATGTGGCTCAGTAAGCGACTGGATCTTGGCTTTGGCCTGGCCCAACTCTGGCTGCTGTGTCCATTTGGGATGTGAATAGGCGGAGAGATCTCTCTCTGTTACTCCCCCAACTCCCATAACTCTGACTTTCAAGTAAATCAATTTCATAAAAAGGCTGCATAACCAGGAGATCCTTTTGTCTAATACATGAAGATAGATAATTGCCACAGGATACCAACAGAAGGCCAGGTAAGCTGCAATATGGGCAAAAAAACAGATTTTGACTGAACCCCTGACTTGACCTTGACTCAAGGTCATTCCATTCTTGGTTTTTCTGGTACCACGCAGAAGTCAAGCAATTCCGTTTTTCCCTTAAGCTAGCGGGGGTAACCAAAGGGATTCCAGCTACACCAGATACACAGAAGATCCCATCCCAGAAGGATTAAGCAGAGTGCTAAGGGTCGCCTCACCTATATGTTGTGCACAGGTGTCACAATATTCTGCATACAAAGACTCGAAGCAGTGGCAACAGTAGGGCCTTCCCTCCTTCATGATGTAGCGCTGGCCGCCCAGGACCGTCTCGCACTCGAAGCAGCAAAAGTGCTTCATGTGCCAGTGTCGCCCCTCAGCTTCCGTGCACTCGTCCGCAAAGATGATCTGGGGACAGGAAGCCAAACGGTCATTGTTTCCAACACTGCCACGAGAACACACTCGGAACAGCACAGTCTCTGGAAGCCCCAAACCCAAGGGTCAGAAAACAGATCTTACTTACAAAGTTGTCAACAAAAGCTACATGCCCTACTTATTTTATACTATCTATGTGCACATCAGTCCCCACCCCCCGCCAACTGTCATTTTTTGAGCATAGAAGAACATGATATCTGGTCTGGCCAATGGTGTACTCCAGTACAGGTTAATAAAAGAAAGATTAAGTCAACCTTGAAGATAAAAAGCAGGATTAAATACTGACAGCTCATAGGCACACTGTACACACATTTCTTTTTTAAACGATTTATTTTATTTTTATTGGAAAGTTGCATATACATAAAGGAAAAGAAGGCCCAGCATGATTGCCTAGTGGCTAAAGTCCTCTCCTTGAATGAGCAGGGATCTCATGTGGGTGCCAGTTCTAATACTGGCAGCTCTACTTCCCATCCAGCTCCCTGCTTGTGACCTGGGAAAGCAGTGGAGGATGGCTCAAAGCCTTGGGACCCTGCACCCGAACCCACGTGGGAGACCCAGAAGAGGCTCCTGGCTTCGGAGCACCAGCTGTTGTGGTCACTTGGGGAGTGAATCATCGGACGGAACATCTTCCTCTCTGTTTTTCCTCTACTGCTTTCCCAGGCCACAGGCAGGGACCTGGATGGGAAGTGGGGCTTCCAGGATTAAAATCAGTGTCCATATTGGATCCCGGGGTATGCATGTGAAGGACTTTAGCCACTAGACTACCACGCCAGGCCCTGGACACACATTTCTTAAAGACTTACTGATTTATTTACTTCAAAGGTGAGAGAGTGTGTGTGTCCTATCTCCTATCTACTGGATACTTTCCAAATGACTATAACAGTTGCAGCTGGGACAGCCAAAAGCCAGGACCTAGGAGTTCCATCTGGGTCTCCTGTGTGAGTGGCAGGGTTTCAAGTATTTCAGCCATCACCTACTGCTCCCAGGCACATTAACAGGGACCTAAATCAGAAGCGGAGTCCTGGAACTTAAACTGCTGGCTGTCTTGCCCAAGCAGTAGCTTCACCTGCAATGCCACAGTGTCTCTGGAACCAGACATGCATTTGTTCCATCTGGCTTGCCTGTATTGTCTTTTAAAGTTGAGAAATGGCATGTAAATCATGCCTTCTCTCTTGAAAATAAACCATGTGGTTGGATTCAGTGTGCATTCCTGTACAACGCAAACAATCTACAGCCCAGAGGAACTGCAGCTCTCAGACGAGTGGGCAGCCCTCTGTTTCTCCCTGTGCCCCTCCTCTCTGCTCTGCTTTTAGCTAGACAGCAGGTAACCTCCATTCGCTCTCATGCCTGGCTCTCGGACGTTTATGTTTTGACCCTTGACAACAATCGAGTTGATTTAAATTTCAGAGCACAGATTAGAAGTGTTTAGATTTCTTTCAAAAAAAAAATTGCAAAGCAAAAATTTACCACCAACCTACATTAGAAAACTTGAAATGGTACAAAGATGCGTATGTAAACGAAGATAAACAAACTGAGAATCCAGGACGAATTCCATACACATACAGCCTCTGGATTATGAACAAAGGGGACCCCGACTAACCCCTGGGCAACCCCTGGGCAAGATAGTCCCTTCAACAAATGCGGCTGAAGGGACTGGACAGCCTTAAGTGAAAGAAGGAACTGAACCCCCTAACTCATGCTGTGTATAAAAATCAACTCAAAAGGCATCAAAGACTTACATGTAAAGAAAATAAAAAGATAAACCTACAAAACTCGCCAAAGAAAACACAAACTGTGGACTACGCAATGGTTTTTTAGGATCCTATAAGCACAAGAAACAAAAGAAAAAAAAATAAAGTAGCCTCAAGCAGCTCTTATCAAAATCAAGCACTGTCCTGCTCCAGAGGACATTATCAAGAAAGTGAAAAACAATCCTAACCTTTGATATGTACAATCATGTATGTGACAAAGGGAGAGTCTTTAGAACGTATAAACAATTGTTACAGTCAACTCAACAATCAAAGGAAAATAATCCAATCAAAAAGGAGGCAAAAGATTGTAGCAGACACATTTCCAAGAAGAACACAGAAATAGGCAAGGAGCACATACAAAGAATCTCAACATTATTATCTGGGACTAAAATGTGAATCAAAGCCTTAACGGGATGTGCTTTCCTATCCACTAGAACGGCGATCATGAACATCACAGCAACTGGAATTAACAAGTATGTGTACAGAGTGAAAGCATCCCTTTCCGGCACAGGGGTTTGGATTAACAACTCTGTACTCTCTCACAAAGTCAAACTGTGCCTTAGCTTACGAATCACTTCAGTGCTTATACCGGTATAGATACCCATGGTTTTAGTTCCAGAGGATCCAAAGCAAAAGTTTTACACAAAAGTCTGTATATGAATGATCATAAGAATATTGAGTATGATGGTAAAAAGTAGAAACAATTCAAATGTCCATCAGTTGTTAAATGCCTAAGCAAAATTGGATACACACACACACACACACACACACACACACACACGCGCGCGCGTGCGCCGCAGAATGTGGTATGGAATATTATCCACTTCCGAAAAGGAAGAAGGTGCCAATATATCCTACAAGACAGTGTAATCTTGACAACATCCCGTCAAGTGAAAGAAGTCAGACACAAATGGTCAGTTGACCTGCTGTTTTTCTATGAACTGTCTAGAATATGTGTATCCCTAGAGATAGAGAATACATGGATGGCTGCCAGCGGCTGGAGGCGGGAGAAGGGGCGAGACTGTTGATGGAGACGAAAGTCCCTGGTGAAGTTCAACAGGGTGATCGTTTCCCCATTTAAAACAACCTTATGTCGCCCTGCCCCTTATCCACAGTTTTGCTCTCCTCGGTTTCAGTTTATCAGGGCAAACTGTGCCCCAAACCTATTAATACTTGTTGTGGCCCCTTCAAAAGAAAAAAAAAAAAAACCCACCTTTACCTAACTTTCATTACATTCTATTTCATTATTATTTATTGTGTTAACCTCATAATGTGCCTAATTTATAGATTAACCTTCATCACAAATATTTTTGCATAGGAAAAAAATGGTCTCGGGCATCCACTGGGGGCTGGAAATGTATCCCCCACAATCAAGGTGGGACCACTGAATATTAAAATCAACCCAACTGTAGGCTTGAAAGGATGACCCTTCATGTCATGCCAACTCTACATCAATAAACAAGGCATTCCAGAGAACATTCATTTCATTTGTCACTTTCTATTAGCTGTGTGAGAGCACAGTTACTTTAGGTCCTGGTTTCTGAGATTCTGCTTCAGGAATTTAAAATTGGACCTGAACTGTCTTCCCATTGTCTGCCTGGAAACTCTCTCTACAACACAACTAGCATTGGAATCCCAATTGACTAAGTCTGATTAACTTCTTCCTGGGAAGAGTGACTTTTTTTTAATGGGTGTTTGTAAGAGATAAATAAAATGACCAGGTGGCAGAGGACCCTGACTCAGAAAGAGTCGTGTCACCTTTACACTGCTGTTGCCAGCAGGTCAGAGGAACCAGCAAGAACGCCCAAGTCCAGGAGGGAACTCTTGCTCAAGAGCTTCCTCCAGATTCATCCCAGAAAAGTGGTCAGGGTTAGAACATTCTTTCTGTTCTATTCTGCAGGTCATGCTTGGGTGTGCTTTCGGTGGGAAAGATGGCCACTGGGGCTATGGGGTTCTATTCTGCTTTCTTCCTGGAGTAGCCAATTAAACCTTTCATGGAGACCAGCAGCCATCTGTTTCCCGGTTCTTCACTCAGATGGTGTGCAGTATGCAGTAGGATGGAACGAGGCTACTCATTTTTTTCTCTTCCCAAACCAATCTGCCCCATTGAACTTGGGAATTGGAACCTCTGCCCTATGTCACTTAGTGACACTCTGAGAGCTGAGCTGCTATGGGATTTTGGTGTTGTAAAGATATTCCAAGTGTGGTCACACACAGAACTGAAAGGCACTAGATGATGTCTTCTCTCCATCACCTAGGTCCTTCACCATGGAGTACAGCATCGAGAGGCAGTGAGGGAGCAAGGTGGGGTGGAGGATTCTAGAAGATGACTCCTGGGAATTTGAGCTGAAGTCTATCACTGCAAGATGCCTGGTATTAAAGAGTTCTGAAACGACTTACTGCCAGCTGCATGCCACTTAGGGAATTGCCCTCCTCCCAGGAGGCCAGGAGACTACATGTTCAAGCAAAAGTGGGCTGCAGGCCACACTTCCTAGCAAGCAGAATTGGGTGGAGCTTCTCTATGGAAAGGGTTCCTGAAAAAGGCTGGAGTGGCTTCTGGCTTCCTTCTCGACAGAAACACTCAACAGTACAGTGCCCATGACACAAATGAGGGGTGACAGGCAGAACCCCCCCACCCCACCGCCCACCCCGTCTACCGCGTGTGCTCTGACCTCGTCGCAAGCCGCACAGCGTGGCTTCAGGCACTCGGCGTGGTGCCTGCCGCAGTAGATCTTTCCATCTTGGTAGAAATAGATCAAATCCACCAGGAGCTCATTGCAGACGGTGCAGATGAAGCACGGCGGGTGCCAGCAGACGCCGTGGCCAGCTCGCGAGGCGAACACAGCGATGTCCCCGCCATTGATCTGGCCTCCACACTGTCGGGCAAAGAAACATCAGCTGAACCTTCGCCCAGTCTCAAGTCGACAACACCAACCATCAATAGCTGGCTGTCAAGCATGGATTTTTTTTTTTTCCTTAATAAATCTCTGGGCTACCAGATGTATGCATCAGCCAGGACAGAGTTTCCATGCCCCACCCATTACACCTCCTTCCCATCCCCCTCACCACCGCTGTCCCCAATTCTCCTTTGCTCAGTGAAATAGTAACTGACTGAGGAATCACCCAGCTGGGAAAGAAAGAAAAATTTCTTTCTTACATCATAACTTATTGGGACTTTGTGGGTGGAGGGCAGAGATTGAAGGTCTCATTTTTTAGATGCTGCAAATGGCATGCAGGAGGCACATCCAAAGTTTAACACCAGGAAGCATACACTGGACAGAGCCTACAGTGTTGGATGGTAGGGGGGTAGGTACGAAAAATGCACCCTTCTTCAAGTGTGTTTTTTCGTATATCTTTCAGACAGATGGCCAATAGTTTCTTCTAATGTGTTCTCACATGGTCGTCATGGAAACAGCACCACTTCTAAGGCCGGTGTAAAAGAAGGGATGCCTTACATCCCTTCCCTGTCTTTTCATTTGTTTTCCAAAGCTCCTTCCTGCATCCAAAAGGAATAAGGCCAAAGCCCTAACAATGACACTCACAGCTAGGACTGAGACAAAAGGAATGTGGTCAGAGGGTCTTGGACGGAGGAATTAAGTCTGAAGCATTAGGTCCAGGGGCATGCCCTCTGCTGACCACAGCGTGGATCATGAACTTCCCAGCCTGAGCCTAGTACCATGGTCCGCTGTGAGTGGCTGAGCTCCGGGAGCAATGCCTAAAGAGCAGATAAGTTACCTCCAAACCCTTCCCACACTCTGGCGCACGTGGAAATGCATCCAAGGAAAATGAAATCAACATTAATGGCACAGTCTCAGGGAGCTTCTACATGTGCCTGAGCACAAGCCATTGTGTCACAGGAGTATCTCCCATGCCTTCCATGGCAGATCTAAAGTTTGCATCCTACTTAATCTTTGCCACTACTCTAAAAGCATTGTTTATCCCCATTTTGCAGCAGATATAACTAAGGAAATTCATATGATAAACCCAAACTTTCCTTGCCCCTGGGATGAGGCCAGCTTGCCTGATCCCAAGAATGCAATCAAAGAATCTCAGTGACCCAAACTGGACTACAAGAATCTCACATCACAGACACTGCCTGCCTGCCACAGGGGTGGGCCTTAAGGATGCTTTTTAAAAGATGCAGTTCCAACTGCCAAAGCATTGGTGAGGCAGCTTTTCTATCTAATTCACCTTAACCTTCTCACTCAAACCACTCTGAAACCTCAAAGAAAACCCTAGGGCATCTGCTTCGCTTTGAGTATCCCCTGTGGACTATCCACCGTCTCAGCTGACCTGTCTTGAGTCACAGCACAGGTCTATTCAAGGAGTAAGCTTGGGCAGTAAGCTTGTGCACAAGGCAGAAGGATTCCAGCAGAAGCCAGACATGATGCCCGGTGTTGCAGTTTCTGGCAGCCAAAATTCAGGCTGAAGGCAGGCCACTGGAACCCCTGCCCTCCCTTCTTTAAACCCACACTCCAGGAGAATGGGCAAACAACCCACACAATGCAGATGCTTGCAGAGGACTTGGTGCCCTTCCCCGGGGCACCCTCACCTGCTCACTCACCACGCCTGCACAAGGGCCTGGGTCTGGCATCTGGGGAGGGAGCTGACCCATTTTTAAAATACAATTTGGTCCCGTCACTTCTCTGCTCAGTACTCTCAGAGATGGCTTAAAAGGCCCTCCATGAGCCCTGCTTTCTATCTGATAATCTTCCCCCCTGACCCTTGCTCCCAGCTCCACCTGACAATTCATTACTTTGCTCATGCAAGAAACGCACCCCCTGCATAAGGCCTACAAGCCTGCTGGGTCCTCGGCCTTCTGCAGGATCCACACCCTCTGGTACATCTTGGCTCAAATGCCTTTTTCTAAGCAGGGCATTCACTGAGATTCATCTTAACATTTTAGTGTTTTCACATAGCCAGTACCTGCTAACACCCAGCCCTGAAGGACTTATCCTTTTCCATCAGTTGCATTTCCTATCTCTGACTCCCTCCATCCTCCATCCTATGACTTTCACCGCACAAGGTCAGCTTTCCCAATTTCTGTCCGCCGCACTATCTCCAAGCCTTAAGAACCCCACCAGGTGCCTTGTCGGGGCTCAGTGAAATGGCTGTCGGGTGAAGCAGTGGAGGGAGCAGACGCTATATCAATGCCGCTTGGCAGTCCCGGGTCTAGGCTCACCTGTTCGCAAATAGCGCCTGTCATGGTGACTGGGAAGGGCCTGACGTTCCCTCGGCCCAGATTCTCACGCTTCCTCTGATTGCTGAAGTGCTTCAGCTCCCTTTTCTCGTCCTCATCCAGGGAGTTGCAGTAACGGACCTGGGCAGACACAAAGCACAGCAGCTGAGAGGCCCAGAAGGTGCTCATGGAAACTAGCCACGTGGTGGTACAGCCTGAACTTGAACAAGACAGGGGATGACGGCCATGTAAGTTGAGCTTCTGTGAATGCCATCGACTGGACATGGGGCTTAGCAAAAGCTTAGGGAGTGGCCCTGCCTCTCATCTGACCACCACTCTCCGCGCAAATTCACCTGGCATGGCTTTGCATGCTGGACACGATCTTGGGAAGCACCACTCTGTCCAAACTGTGGTCTCCAAGAATGGCTTCAGGCCTGTGACCCATAACAATGGGAATGTGCTCAGGGTACAGGTCTCCCATTTCATCTTGGGAAAAATAGGGAAGCAAGGGCTTGAGGCTAGGGAAGTGACCCTGAAGCTTCTGGGCTGCCACAAGGAAGCTCTTGTGGGAAGTCCCCTCAAGCTTATTTGCATGCAGGAGCTAAAACACTGCCTGCTGGTCTGTAGCTGGGTGTGTCAACTTGCAAAACAGATTTTCCTACTTGTGAAATATAGAGACTAAATTAAAGCAGGGTGCAGAATTACAACAGAAATTCAGACCCAGTATTTCCTATTCTCACACCTGATTTATGTGCACAGTGGGAACTGCGCAATACTCTGGAAATGTTATTTCCTGTTGTTTTTTAAGTGGATCCTTTTTTTTTTTTAAGAAAAAATAAACTTGAATGCATTTATTGTAAAAGTATATTATGACTACAAATGGAAAATCAATATCACTTGCAAAACACAAATGGCGACCACAAAGCTAACAAGGGTAAAAAGAAAGTCTCACTGTTAGATCCTAACTGGGGACTTTGTTTACAGGAGATCTCAGAAAGGAGACCTCTTATGATGGCACTTAAAAACAGAGCTAAGGGCCCAGCATGATAGTGTAATGGTTAAGGTCCTCGCCTTGAATGCGCTGGGATCTTATACGAGCACCGGTTCTAATCCCGGCAGCTCCACTTCCCATCTAGTCCCCTGCTTGTGGCCTGGGAAAGCAGTCAAGGACGGCCCAGAGCCTTGGGACCCTGCACCCATGTGGGAGACCTAGAAAGAAGTTCCTGGATCCTGGCTTCGGATCAGCGTAGCACCAGCTGTTGCGGTCACTTGGGGAGTGAATCATCAGGCAGAAGATCTTACTTTCTGCCTTTCCAATTAAATAAATAAATCTTAAAAAAAAAAAAAACAGAGCTAGGCAGGAGACAGGGATGTGTGTCTTATCTGGGTGCAAAAGATGATATTGAAATACTGGCTTTGGGATCACCCTTTGTCTTCCATACGCCAAAGCAAATGGATCAAGTGCCCACTACTGAGTCCTGGAGACAGAATTCTGCCAATAAGGACATAGAAATCTGATGGGGTCTTCTCATCAGAACATTTTGCACCAAAAACACCAACAAACCACTCAAAGTAGAGAAGTGCTGCTATTCTACCCTGATCAAGTGCAGAGTTTAGAAACAGAATGTCTTTAAGAGAATGTTCCAGAGAGACAGTGAATGATCTGCGGTGACCTGAGCAGCCCAGAATATAAGGTTACGCCACTACCATTTTATGGACATGCTTGTAAAGCAGGGCACACCCCTCCTGCTTGTAAAAACCCGCATTTTCGCTTCTAAATTAGTTAACTGGGCATCAGGTTACAACGCCCGCCCTCAGCTTTAAAGGAGAAAGCATTATTTCTATTTGTTTTTATGAAGTCGGAAGTAAGCAGCGGGATGGGGACCAGCCGATCTCTTTCTAGGAGTGGCTTCGCCTGTAGAGCTTGCGTCTGGCTTACTTTAACGGATTTCTGAGATGATCCCCTTTGAAAGTGGAATGGGATGAGACTTAAAACAGCACCTCCCCCCACCCCAGGGCTATCCAGACGCCGCAAGCGGGAGGGGTTAGTTGATAGAAAACTGGCAACTGGCTCTATAAGGTTTTTTTTTTTCCTTCCCATGGAAAATCTTTTTCTTTTTCTATTTGTTTTTAATGCAGTCAGAAGGAAGCAGACAGCTCAATATTACAGGTTTATCCTTTGTATACACACACACACACGTGCACACATATATGTATGTATACACATATAACCAAATACCTACAAATTCATTGCTAGCTTATTCACCTCTCCTGCATGAAAAACTTTTAAAGACTGGCTTACTAATCTCCCCTTAAGGATCCATTGTGCTGGCCAGATTCGTGCTTTCAAAAGAATGGACAGTCTGTAGCTCACACATTGAAGCATTCCATTTGAGACTAACCCTTGTTTAAAGCCCCAGATCAGCGCACACGGCTTCTGAGGGCAGTGCAACGTGGAAAAACGTGCATGCTGATTTAATAGGAAAGGATGCTGAACATCGGAGCCTCAAAGTTTTTTGCATGGCTGGGATTTGGCCCAAGGGGTCCCCAGTCGTCATCTCTTCGGCTACACAGGCAAGCCTAGGACACAGCTTGCACGTGATCTCTGCAATTTTAGGGTTCTCCTGTGATCCCTCAGCAGCCATTAGTGTCAGGCGGGAAGGCTAAGCCACTATGGAAAAAGGACAGTCTGCTTTCTGGTCGCACTTTCCAGACGGTATGGGCCAGTTTCTTTTGGCTCGCAGGAACGTAGATGAAACCTACAATAAAGCCCCAGATTTTTCCCTTGGCAGGCTCACGCGTTATGAAAAGGGGGCCCATCCACAGGAAGGGGAGAGAAGCCTTCTCCAGCCCCCCTCTGGCCCCTTACCTCATTGTCGTGTGGGGGGAGTTGGTGCAGCAGCTGCTTGATTCGCAGCTTCTCTCCAGGACTGTTGACATAAGGGACCTTCTCCTCTGGGAGGCAGCTGTAGTACTGGTGCACCTGAAGGACAGACGACACACATCACCCGTCCAGTTTCCACAACGTTGTGTGCCAATGCCCAAGCTCTGGGGAGAAGATGCCCTCGGTGAGGCACTCCCACCCGGCTTCTAACGTCCTCAGCCTTCAGGGAACTCAACAGTCCGCTGAGTTCCCAAGTAAAAACAGACACACACACATCCTGATAAGAGCGCAACTGCATCACCCACATCTTGCAATCTCCCTCTCTCTGCCAACGAAAAAAAAAAAAAATCAAGCCTGTGAACTTTTCCAAAAAGGAGAATTCAGCAAATGTGCTGGTGGCCCCAGAGGGCAGAGCTTTCTCGGCAAACTCCCGCGAGCGCTGGCTTTACCATTTTTCTCCGTGAGGCTCCAGCCTGGGATGTGCCTCCCCAAGCCAAAGGGATATGTCAGCACCTGCCTCGGCCCCACAGCCAAAGCCAGGCCCTGGCACTTGGCAAACTCCTGGGTGCTTTAGTCTCCACCTAGGCAAACAGCCTTCCAGCTTTTGAGCCGTATGTGAGGCAGGCAGCAGTAGACAGTCAGCAAAGGGAGACTCACTAAATTGGGACCGTAGGACACGTCATTAAAACCTATCATTAACGTGCGGATTTGTGTACATCCTGGAAGGTCCTGCTTAACAACTCTTAGGTCGCATCCTCTACCTCCTGAGACACAGTCTACCCTCACATCTAGCATGGGAAACACCAAGTATCTGATTTTGTTTCAGAAAGGAAAATAGCCATCCTGCCAGCCCATGTGGCTGTGTGCGAAACTGGAGAAGCAAAGAAAAAAGGCTGACCAAAAGAGAAGGTGTGCCATGGGACAGGAGGGGCAAAAAAAAAAAAATGCCACCAGTTCTGAGATCTTCGTGGAAGTTCCTCTTCCTTTGCACAATCATTGGTTCTGCTGCAGCAACAAGCCATTCATTCAACCAAATGCAGAAGAAGGCAGAGAATGGGGACTCCATGGTCCTCGGCTTCATTCATACTCCACGCATTTGGTCTCACTCCTTTGTACTGAAAGAGCCCCGGGTATCAACACATGCTTTGGGAATGCTGGGGTGAAGATGTGCAAAAGCTCTGTCTCCTTTGATCTCCCACAACTCAGTCACAGTGTTATAAATGAAGGAAGCAAGCCTCTGTGATGACAGGACCTTCAAAAACATAAAAACCATCTCTATTTTCCAAACTAATGATCACAACCATTGGCCACCATGGGCCTGTCGTTCTGTTCATCACATCCAAGAGGCAATGGCCAACAGGGTTCTCCTGGCACACGGGCTGGCTTTCCAGATCCTCTCATTGGAGACAGACACCTGGCAGGAAGCTGCATCCCTGGAATGGAGGGAGCCAGCTCCGGGTTTTGATGGCAGCTCATGTACTGCCAGCACTCCCTGAGCAGGGAAAGCAAGGCACAGACCACAAGAGAGTCTGAGATTAATACCTGGCTGCTTGCCCACCTGAAACTCACACACCACCCTGCCAATATCCTGGCAAACGAGCCTGAATCATATGCCTCATCAGATCTAGGCCCGGTCTGAAGACGCAGGTCCGTCTTGGTGTCTTGGGGGAATGGGCTTTGTCTCCCAAATCAGAAGAGTGCTTAAGGCTTGGTGCAATGGCTCAACTGGCTGATCCTTGCAATTGCCAGGATCCCATATGGGCATTAGTTCATGTCCTGGCTGCTCTGCTTCCCTTCCAGCTCCCTGCTTGTGGCCTGGGAAAGCAGTAGAGGATGGCCAAAAGCCTTAGGAACCTGCACCTACATGGGAGATCCAGAAGAAGCTCCTGGCTTCTGGTTTGGGATCAGCTCAGCTTTGGCCACTGTGGCCATTCGGGGAGAGAGAGAGAGAATGCCTTGCTGCACCATCACTTCATCAGTTGTTGAAGTCTATTGATAGATATAGAACATTATGAATAACTGCTACAGAACTTACTGGAAACTACTCCCTCTCGCCCTCACTGTGCTCACAGCCCATCTTCACTTCTCAGAGCACAGGTCTCCTCGCCACCATCGCCACCAATTCAGCGCCTCCCCCTGCCAACAAATCAGAAGGCTCTCCCAGGGCATGTCCTTGAAGCAAACCTTCAAGGAGACAGTCCACGGCAGACCCAGTTTGGGACATCTCTGCACCTTCCATAGCATGGCCAGCCTGCAAACAGCCAGGACTGGGCCAGGCAGAAGCAGGGATGTGGGAACTCAATCCAGGTCTTCAACATGGGTAGCAGAACCCAATCACCCGAGCCATTATCAATGCTCTGAGAGTGTGCAATAACACGTAGGTGGGATCAGGAGCTGGGGCTGGATACTGAAGCCAGACAGAGTATGACACAAGCATCCCAACCAGTGTCTTAACTGCTACACCAAACTCTTGCTCCCAAGATGTTGAGTTTTTATAATTAATTAATTAATTAGAAAGAGTTAGAGAGGAATCTTCAATCTGCTGGTTCACTCTCCAGGCTAACAGCAATCAGCATAGAATCAGACTGAAGCCAGGAGCCAGGAGTTTCACCCACGTTTCCCACGTGGGCAGCAGGAGCCCAAACACATGGTCCACCTTGGCTGCTTTCCCCAGGCCATGAGAAGGGAGTCAGATAGCAGTGAGTCTCTGGGATAGGAAATGCCACCTTCCACATGGGTGCAGGGTCCCAGGGTCCTTGATTACTTTCCCAGGCCACAAGCAGGGAGCTGGATGGCAAGCAGGCTGACAGGTTTAGAACTGGTGCCCATATGGGACCCCAGCACATGCAAGGCAAGGACTTTAGCCAATAGGCTACTGCACCAGGCCCAGGATACTGAATTATTAAGTCTCTGAATGTAGTAACTACCCTTGGGGGAATGCAGTTTCATGTTTCCCGGATACCTTCTATTACCCTTTATATTTCAAGCCTACTGGTGAACACAAGAAAGCTATGCTTTATACTAGTATTCTAATATTCCCCAAATATATAATACACACACACACAAAATATCTTACACAAGGTTGGCAACACTTTAACGGGTGACTTAGCAACTTACATATTTGTCACTAAGACAAATCTAGTTACATTGACCAGTAACCTACCAACACTACAGACCACAACAGAGGTGATCTGGCTAGTTTTGAGGAAGGACATGAGTTCATCAGTGCTGTGTCACTTATGGTCCTTTTTAACGTCTGTGCAAGATGAAAATGCAACCTTTCTACTGTTGGCTTCTGTGACTTCTCTGGTGTGTAGGTGCTACACTTGCCAGGTTATTCACGGAGAAAATGGGTTAGCAGATGGATGGGGAGGAGGGACCAAGAACTCTCCAGAAACCCAGCCTTCCTCTGGCAGAATTCGCTGGACTCTGGCTTGCTCTGCAGCCAAACAGATGGACAGCCAAAACCACCAGTGGTAAGAGTAACTGGGTAAATGTCTATACTTTATTATTATTATTTTTATTAATTACATTGCATTATGTGACATTGTCTCATAGACTCTGGGAGTCCCCCAACCCATCCCCATACCCTCCCCCTGTGGTGGATTCCTCCACCTTGTTGCAGTATTACAGTTCAAATTCAGTCAAGATTCTTTCATTGCAAACATAGAGTCCAGCATCTTATTGTCCAGATAAATTCATTGGTTTCTTGGGGAGACCATCTCTGGTCTGAAAGCAGAGCTGGCAGAATATCATCCCAATCAATTAAAAGCCACAACATAACATCAACATCAATTTACAACATTTTGGAATTAATTGAATGCCTACACTTTAAATCTTCATTTCAGGACTACCCCTCTGAAAATGCTGCAGATCTCTTATTTTAGTTCAGAGACATATCACTTGTTCATTTTTAGGAGCATACAAGCAAGCCTAAAAGACTGCTGCTGATGATAATCACTAGCGAATCATTATCCAGTAGGCTGGTAATTCTGTTTTTCCTCTTGTGTGTAGGGAGTCCCTGCCTTCAAAAGCATGCCGGTAGAAAGTGCTAGAAAGTCCGCTCTGTTCAGACAATCGCAGGAAAAGGTGTCCTGCGACTCTGCTCTAGGTGAAGTCACCCTAGGTAGACGTTCCTTGAACAAGAGAGCATTCTGAGCACAATAAACTGGCTTAGGAAAACGAAATAGCTGAAGGCCTTTATTCAAGGTGTTACTGCCATCAGAAAAGCTTGGCAGCAACTCCAGCCTGTGTCAGACAGATTGCAAGAGGGTTAGTCAGAGAGCAAATAAAATCTACGAAGCAAGGCCTCGCCCACTTGGAGAGACCGGGCTTGTTAGCAGGAGCTGCACGTTCGACACCATTTCTGCCTGGGCAAAGAGACCGAAGGCATAGAGAAAAGTGCAATCACCGAAGAGTGTGCAAAGAAAAGTATGCAAGGCACATGATTTCAATCAGTGATTCTTCAACTTTTGGCTTGCCTTACAATCATCTGAAGGCTAAGTGAAAACACAGATTCCTAATATTACTGGCCTGGTGTGAGGCCCTGTAATCTGCATTTCTGATCGTTTCTAAGGTCCTGTGCTGGTCCAGGGAGCACACTTTTGAGATTTTTAGAGCTATCTGGCCTCTCTCCCTCAACAACCAACCCCACGCAGTGGTCGGATCTTTTATCCAGGAGATCCAGAGAGCTACAGGGGAGAAAGCAACGCTGGCCACCACCCCCACACTGTTTTCTTACATATCTGCTTTCACACACTCACATGTGCACATATGCACACATGAAGCCAGGAAATTCCACCAGCTTTGGCAAGACAAGCAGTCCTAAGGACAAAGCGCTCAGACTTTTCAGCAGGAGCCTTTTCTGTCTCTAAAAGCGTTCTTATCTTCCTGGTGCAGAAACCCAACAAAGAGAAGTCAGACATTCTTGGTAGATCTCGGCATTAGCTGTTCCTCACGGCTGAAATAAAGAAAACGATCGATGAACTACTTATTGACTGAGTGGCTTGCACTGTAGGTTTGAAGTGTTTCTTTCTGTCTCTATCTTTCTCTCTCTCCTTTCGTTTCTTCTTTTCTATTCTCTTCTTGGCAATCCTCCC